TGATGGCCTCCTTTCCCTGATCCCGGCTAAGATGTACTATGGGGAGGACACCAGTGTATGTTGTTCTCCCCTCTCTCCCTCGTCTCGCAACCAGTTGCGCTTCGACGGGTAGGACGATTGCTGATGCGTTCTGCCCCTTGCCACAGGATCAATGGAGGAAGAAGAAGCAGACAAAAGATCAGGCAAGAGCTGCAAAGAGGGGAAAGCTGGATCCGGATAGCGAACTCAACCGCAATGCGAAAGAGGTGCTGGACGAGCGGGCGCGGAACAAGCGTAAGCTTCAGGAGATGGAGGCCGAGGAGGACAGCGACGCCGGCTCCGAACAAGATGGCGACATCGATCTCCCGGGGATAGAGAAGGAGAAGCCAGGCGAGGGGCTGAAGAAGAGGGTCAAGCTGGACGGGGCGGAGGATTCGGTGCCTAAGAAGGAGAAGGGTACCGAAGATCAAAAACCGACTGAGGGCGAGAAGTCTCTCAGTATGAAGCAGAAGGCCAAGGAAGAAAAGAAGCTGGCTAGGAAGCTAAAGAAAGAGGAGACTGAAAGGTCAAAGACGGAAGAGGCTGGGAAAGACGGGAAGGCCGAGAAGGTGGATAAGAAGAAAGCTAAGATTGCTGCGGCTGAAGAAGAAGCTGCGGATGGGGAGACCGAAGAGTCTGCAGCAGAGGAAGCGCCGGCAAAACCATCTGCCGAGGAGGCTGAGAGCGATGCAGACGAGGAATTGGCGCCTATCGATATATCGGGGCTTGCCAATGAGAATGAAGGTTCCTCAGAAGGATCGTCGGTAGACTCGGCACGAGGCTCGCCTATTTTCGACAGCGAAAAGAACGCCTCAGGCGAGCCTGCCAGTACGACAACATCGATATCCTCGGCCGTTCCCCCCTCGGAAAAGCCCAAGTACCTCAAGATTCCCGCCGATACCACTGCATTACGCGCTCGCCTCGAAGCCAAGCTCGCTGCCCTTCGCGCGGCCCGCAAAGTCGCTGATGAGGACGGCAAGCCCATCCGGACGAGACAGGACCTGATCGAGGCGCGGCGGGAGAAGCAAGCCCAACGCAAGGCGCACAAGAAGGAGATGCGCCGGCTAGCCAAGGAGGAAGAGGACAGGAAGCGGGAGGAGGCGCTAGCAAGTGCCCGCAACTCGCCCGGCCTCAGCCCCCTCTTTGAGCAAGATGATGACCGCAACGCAAACCACTTCGCCTTTGGCCGGCTGGCCTTCTCAGACGGAACACAGCTGTCGCACGACCTGAGCTACGAGAAGACGCCCGGCAGCGCCAAAAAGAAGGGCCCCTCCGACCCCAAGACGGCCCTGCTCAAGCTCGAGGCGCAAAAGAAGCGCATAGCCAGCATGGACGAGGACAAGCGCAAGGAAGTGCTCGAAAAGGAGACGTGGCTGGCGGCCCGCCGGCGCGCCGAGGGCGAAAAGGTGCACGACAACGAGTCGCTGCTCAAGAAGGCGCTCAAGCGCAAGGAGAAGGCGAAGAAGAAGTCGGAGCGCGAGTGGAAGGAGCGCGCCGAGGGCGTTAAGCACGCCATGCAGGAACGCCAGCGCAAGCGCGAAGAGAACATCCGGAAGCGGCGCGAGGAGAAGCTGGCCAACAAGGCGGGGAAGAAGAAGAACAAGGGCGTCCAGACCAAGAAGAAGAATCGGCCTGGGTTTGAGGGTGGCTTTGGCGGTGGGAAGAAATAAAACCGGCAATTCAGAGCTGAAGAGATGGACTAGTAGTTACGGGCGGATGGAAGGGTTGCTTGAGGGTCGTCATCTTTGTTCCGTATGTTGGGGGTGTCCGGCGTTATTTGATCCCGGATGCATCGCGGTATTTAGGGCTCTATTCCTGTACTTTGGACGGCATGTGGCCTGCACATTCTGCTACAGGAGTCAAGGGATACGAAAATGATATGGCACGAGGTTGGTCTCATGGACCTGTCATTCCTGGTCCTGTATGGAATGCATCGAAGAGAACTGCCTTGTCACCGGAAACCCGCAGGCAACATGACATGATGGTAGGTTGAGGCCGGTTGCTCCCATCGGTTCAAGTCATGACATGCCGTCCAATTATCTGCATGAAATGGAAAAAGAGAAGAAGTGGAAGAAACCTAAATAATAAAAAAAGCGGGATGGAAAAGAAACAGATCCCCTTTTGCTCCGTTTCCCAGCAATCGCAAGAGCACCCCTACTGCACACGAGAAACGCCCGAAAGGAACGTCCTGGGCGTCTAGGTCGTACAGCCCAACCCGCCCACGCCACGCAGGACAACCAAGGAGTGAGTTGAGGCGCTCCAGGTACTCCTCAGGTTCCAATACCCCTGGCCCCCGCTGCTCACCGTGCAAGAACGATCCCAGTTACATGCGAAGAATTTGCCGCCCGTATATCCCGTTTCCTGTCCGTCTGTTCCCTTCGTCTTCGGCCAGCTGAATAAGGCCACCCCAGAAGCGCCCGAGTTTTGGAAGAGGTCCCCTTTCCTTTGTTTCCAGATCCTCGGAGTAGACTTCTTGATCCTCGCGCTCCCGATCCAGTATCCCCCGGTGTCCTCTGCCCATTTCGCAAGCACCACATCCCTTTCTTTTTCCTCTATACTCTTCTCCCTTTGTTTCTTTCTGAGTGAATTGGCTAACCTTACCGGTGTCGTGGTAGCTTCCTCGGCCATTCGGCCGCTGCTGGGTTAGAGCAACAGCAAACGTGATAGGCGCCGTTCCCTGATTTTGTCGCCGCTCTAGAGAGGAGCTGAATGATTCGCGCCGGTTCGGGGGCAGCCTTTTTCGACGGAAGGAATCGAGGGCATAAGCAAGCCAATCTAAATCCTCTGTCGGTGCCGAAAAGAAGTCAATTCCGAGGAGGTGGGACTAATTGTATGGTCGAGAGTGTGTAGAGGAAGTAAAAGTCGCATCGAGGTCAGAGGAGACTGGCGCGCCTCAAAAGGCTACCGGCGGGACCACCACCTAGCCACTAGAGGAGGGAGTCGAGACGGGTGAAGACGCTCAAACAGGCGGCAATCACTTCGAGCTGGAGCTCCTTATCTTGGTTCCTGTTGACTTCCTGTAGAGGGAAGGCGTCAGTGATCAAAGCAAAGAGAAGCAGCGGGCGTTACGCACCTCGCCAATAACCTGCGGCAAATTCTCCCCTATGTCATTAGATGTGGCCTTCCTCCCGAACGGCCACTGGCTGTAATCCGCGAGCAGCTCGTCTGTTTGGTTGAAGGCCTTCTCCCTGGCCTCGTGGCCGAGCGTCGACAGCGCGTTCTCGAGCACGTTGGCCGCGTAGGCGGCGCAGACCATGGCGACGGTGCGCAGGTAGCGGAACTCGAGATTCTCGGGTAGCCACTGGGAGCTGTTGAGCACGACGGTCCGCTGCGTCAACACGTTGCGCACGCGCCGCCGGATATCTTCTTTCGCGCCGCTGTCAACCACCGGGTGCGTGGCCATGTCGAAGAGGAGGAAGTTGCGCTTCTCAGTCCGCAGGATGCCCTTGTCTACTAGGCCCTTGGCCAGCCGCTCGCGGACTTGCTTCAGTTGGTAGCCGATCTTCATGAGGTTCCATGTCTCTCCTGTCGGTCGTACATGTGTCAGCAAGTTGTTCGGCGCCAGCCATTCTTGTAATTGGGGTAGTGTGCCCAGCACATACCGCTCATAAGGTCAATCCAGCTGCTGACGCTCATCTTCTCGCTCGTCTTCATCATTTTGAGGGCTTCGTCCAGCAGCACCTCGCCTGTCAAGGTGTCGTCGATAACCTCAATGATCCGGTCGGGCAGAGGGAAGCTGCGTCTTGAAGGGGTCTTTTGCATAGCTATGCGTCCACGGAAAGCAAGTTCTAGCACGATGCACCCGCGCAGCGCATACGAGATGTTGTCGTTCCAAAAAGACAGGTAGCCCTACATATAACAGCGCTTTTGTCAGCCGTCGAATTCACTGCCGCGACGCCTAATCAACGGCAGCATGTCAAGGAGGCTAACCTGCTTATCCTTCAACCCCAACAACAGCACCTCCTCCATGAGCGTCAGCTTGGGCTGCTTACTGCGCTCGGCGCTCTCGCTGATATCGCGCGGGTCGAAGGCAATCCGGTGACCGTTTTCGCCGCTCTCATAGCTCGTCTCGGGCCCGCTGCTGTCCCTAACATTGACCGACGAATTGGTCCGCGAGCCGATGCCGACGCCGTTGCTTTCCCCGTCGCCAGTGCTCGCTCCCCCTCCTCCCCTGCGCCTTGTCAAGCCCGATGTGGTGGTGGCCATGACTCTTCGGATTTCGGCAGAACGACTGTGGAACCCTGGAAGCCCCGGTGACGGCTGACGCTCCCGCTCGTTGGGTGGTGAAGGCCCGGGTTGAAAGATGGGGTCCGGTCGTCGCGTGAGAGAGATTCTTTCTTCGGCTTGGCTTCGCGTTGGCAATTGTTTGAGCTGAGGTTCAGGGGTGCACCGAATGGACGGCTGCTTGGCGGCTGGCGGATCCGTAGGTCAGAATTCCAGTGCTCAGCCGCGATGCAGCTTCGAGGTTTTGGCAGTGCGATGTTAAGTGATTGAGAAATTAAAGATCAGTATCCCGAGTCTGTCGGCCGATCGAGGCTAATGTTTGCCTTGTGTTTGTCGCATTGCTGCTGGCGTCTGCTTTTTTTCTCCCTGCTCCTTTTGCGCTGCGCTTTTGCACCAGGGTGCTGAAATGAGGCTTAGCGGCTTTGATAACGAAAGCGTTGCCTTACGGATACAAACAATACTCTTCGTAACGATCGGGTGGGGATCAGCGGACTTGATCGTTATCGCTTATCGCTACCTGAAGTTAACCCTCATTTTCTCTCAACTACCTAAAGTACCAAGTGTTGAGAGGTATCCTAATATAGCCCTAACCCTGCTTTTCTCGCTATATATTTTCAGGAACAAGAAGTAAACTTAAGGGTAGTTAAAGCCATTACAACTCCTAGACTTGGCGTTTATCAATTAAGCGAAAAAGGAAGCTAATATTTACGAGACTTTGTCTAATTAGTAGACTAGCAAAAGAGTCATCGACCATATCATGCCCCCAGGCGGGATCGAACCGCCGACCTCATCATATCGCGCACTGAACCCTAGAGGGTTCCATACGAGTGATGCGCTCTACCACTGAGCTATACGGGCCAATTGGTAGGGAAAGAGCGACGGGCGTGCCTTCCTATTCCGGAAGTCACAGGTGCCCCTTCCTCTTTTGGAAACCCTAGCTACTGTGTGATGGAGCATACGGGCCATTGTTAGACACTGGCAGGTTATAGGTCCAACGTACCAGATTTCTCACCCTCTCAACCTGCGTTCTTGATGAATCATTCCTCTAAATACCTGGCCGGTCCTGTAGCAGGCCCGGGACTGCCAGGTCTAGGATGTATCTCCGTGCTCTGTCCCAACATTCTGCTCCAAACTCGAGGTTCATAGATGTCCTCTGGTGGTGTTATAGTATATAATCTGTGAGACGGGGCTATGCCGCTATAGGGATAACCCTACCTGGGTCACATTCTTGCTTTTAGCTTTGCGAAGAGATGCTGCAGCTTCGGGGTGGTGAAGGTTTGGACTAGACCGGTTTCGCTATGATGAGAAGCAAGCCATGATCGTGTTATCATGCGTAATTCGTGAGACATGGCTATGGAATAGTCTTACCTGAGTCAGGCTCTCGCCTTCGGTCTTAGATGAGACGCCGCAGCTTCGGGATGGTGAAGGCGTAGACTGAACCGGTTTCCAATATGACGTGAAGCAACCCACGTCTATAGAGATTGCAGAATGGTCGTGATCGTTTGCTATACCATCGATAGCGTAAGGCATGCTATAGTATAGTTGCCGGAGTCCGGGGTCGTGACACAACCTCGACAGCTGAAATCCTATTGTCGACTGCTGACAGGCGCCTGGTAGTGTATTACCAGTAGGAAGCGGCCGTGATGGTAGGTGTGATTGGAATTGGTCGCTGATTGATATGAAGGCTCAGGTAATACCGAGAACGGTTGATGGTTGCTGCTGCTCTCCTTTGATAATTTGGAAACCGGTGAGACCGTTTGTGGCTGGTCTTGTTCCAATCTGGAAGTCCTTTTTTGCCGCTTCAACTCTAAAAGTCGTGTCCAGCGACGAGCATCAGCCATCCACCAGCTCGTGCCGCTAATATCACCACCCCAATTGCCCACTCATATTATGGAAGATACCGGTAGGTACCTTACCTACTAGTACCTTACCTAAGTACGGTAGCTAAGTTACCCAGATAGGTAAGGTAGTGCATCTTTATGGGGCTCGTTCTATGCCCCGGGGTGCTCCTTCCATAGTTGGAATCAGCAGTGTCACGCGAGTGAGACATTTGGAATTCTTAACATACCACATAGCAGGTAGCACTTGCCTTGACTTTCGCAACCTCGGGTGTTACTAGTTGGAACAGAGTCGCGGGGCCCCAACTACCGCACAAATGAAATTTCCAGATCCATCACGATTTGTCCTGTCCTCACAGTCTAAGGTACCTACCTTAGTCTACGATCTTCCCAATTCCAACCTCATCGTCTTCCCAACCCCGAACTTACCGTCCATCACCAACTGTCCCTTCAGCCAGCAGTTCCCGTCTTATGCCATCAACTAGCCCGGTCCAGCCGCCACCCGCTATGTTGCCCTCTTTAACTGGGACGCGTTAGTCCTTTGCCATTTCTCGTGGCTAGATCACACCAAAGAAAGACTGAGGAAGGAATGTTGACGAGAGTGTGGAGCTTCATTGTCAAAACAGCCAACAGGAGGAGGAGATATCTAGGTACCTAATCTCCTCCTCCGCTCATATATGTTCAATTGCTTTATCTCTTCTGCGTGGATGAATTTCTGCATCGAAGGCAGGTACGTCCCCAATATCCCGTCTCCTTTCATTGTGTTCTTAGCTAATGGATAGGCTAGACAGTAACAAAAAGCATACCTTAGGTCTTACATACTATACCAGGAGGCTAGTATCATATATTAACAGCTATGGTAGTCACGACTCCTTTCGTGCTCTTCACTGCCCAGTTACGTGCCGCCCCGCGCTGTCCGGGCGGCAATGAGAAAGATTTAGGAGCCTCGGCCCAACCAGAATGTAAGTTGGCTCGTCTATTTTCTGGAGCTTTTCAGATAGAGATATACTGTTAGGATTATCCTAGGCTGGCGAGAATAAGCACAAACGCGGCACAAGTGGCGCCACCTGCGGATGGCAATGACGCGCAAGCCGCAAGAGGAAGCCGTCTTATAGAGTACGGGTGTTAGGGATGGGTGAACCCAGTCTAACAATGTTATAGAAGATCGAGGGAAACCACCTTCACCGGTATGGAAATCAAAAACAGAAGAAAAAGGTCTCGACCCCGGCCGCGAACGCCCCAGCCCTGGCCACCGACGACCCTGCTGAAGAGAACACCGATGACATCGAGTTGGTTGTCACGGCAATGGAAATGATGACGCGGTAAGTATATCGTGGTGACGATAAGCAAATATAGATACTAATTGATGATTATACAGATGCGAGAATAATTTGCTAAATCATTTCTATTCACTGAAGGGAGCTGTCGGATAAAGAAGAGAGGAAAAGAGAAGAAGGTAAAGAAACAGGAGGGACAACAAGAAGAAAAAGAAGAGGGGAAGGAAAAGAAGAATTAGCAACTCATGAAATCGTTCCGTCTCCTGAGGTGTGAGACGCAGCCGGTATCCATATTTGGTTGTACAGCCTTTCTGGCTAGGGAGGTTGTTCAATATCGTCAACGAGGTCAAGCATCACAGGATGCTGCTCGTCGTCTACCGTCCCTGCTTCTGTGTTTCCACAGGACCAGGGATGAAATCATCTTCAAGAACAGGTTTCTTGTCTTGCGTTGTGCGCTACAACATCTTGACGCCATTGTATTGACGGGAACCCTACAGGCATCCTTTGGCCCGCGGCTTGGTGCTAAGCAACAAGTGTCTGGACGATTATTACTCGGTCAGCAGCTTGGGATCTGTGATTGATCGCACACATGAGCATGCGTATTCCCGCTCTGTGTCCTCCGGCAACCCTTCCTAGCTCCAGCATATCCTTGGCGGGTTCGAAACGTCTGCGGGCCAACCAAGCTGGGATACCAATGCCACGTTCGTCCAGTTTCCGACGTGGGAAGCCCTTCTTCTTTTTATGCGGCTGAGTAACCACGTTTAGGGAGACAGTTCCACCCTCAATACAGAAAATGTGGATGCCCACGGTGTTTGTGATGACACCAGCAAATTTCAGCGCCTCGTATGGGGAGGTGACGGCGCCTGAGTTGAGAGAGTCCGATACTGACAGCCTTTGCGGTTGAGGAAACCCACGGCATCGGAGCAAGAGTCAGCGTCTCCTTTCCTCTCTTGCGACAAAGATAGCATAAGCCCGCCGGTGGATTTTCAGGTTGTGTTTCATCGCATCCTTGACAACCGATGTGCCGACCCTTTCGGCCCTTGGGCCGCAAAAGCAGGGGGGCACTGAAGCTGTTGTACTTGATGAGATGGCTGTGAATCCGGTAAGCACTCCATGCTCGATCCCTGGTCAGTCACGCATGAAGCTGGAAGCTACGAGGCCAATATACTGGCGAGATGGTGCGTCCAGATGGGGGTTGAAGGAAAAGGGTTAAAGGTCTACTGGCCGGATTGCTGGATCGACGTGCGTAGAAAGGCCAGTTCTAGCAGAAAGACGAGGTCCTCAATGGCAGCGGCGAAACAAACGGTGTTATGCAGATCTCGAGCTTATATATGGCAGGCTGGGCTTAGAGCATCAAATGATATTCTTATCCCTCCTAGGTTCTCAGAGGTAAAGGTCTTCCGGGGTCACAGAGCAAAAGCTTCAAAGTGAGAATTCCTGAATAGTTCGTAGTGAAGTTTGCTTTGACTCCCAAGAGCTAAGATGCTCTCTCTCTATAACTCTGGGCAGAGAGCAAAGAAACGTCCTGAGAACCACGATGGTTCAGTTACTAAGACTGTGAGAGAGGACCGAACAAACTCCGTCGGGGTACTTCGTCCAATCGAGTGCAATGTGTGATGAAATGGTCTTGGTATCAGCTTGAGTGGTATCACCAGCAACGCCTTCCCAGATGTTTGCCTGTATGAGTGATATGTGCCTCCGGACCGTTGCCCAGACCGCAACCGCGTAATTATGCCGACGACGAACGCCGAACACCGCCCATCAAAGCAGAAAGAGTGTGATGTAACCAACGAGAGACATCGATCTAGGTGACGCCGCGTAAGCCCCTTCTATGCAGACTAAGAAAACCGCCGTTGCCACTTTCCACACCGTCTATCCCTCTCCTTAGCCGACAGGTCAGGGAAGAATTCCTTCCATACTCCATTCTCCCTTCTGTGCACGGTTGAGAACCTCCCTTCCCTTCTCCGTCAGCGATGGCTTGCCAGCCTTGTCAGTAGCCTGTTCAAAGAAAACAGGTTTCCACGTTTCTCCCTTCCGTTCACGCTCCCGGGCTTTCTCTCGCTGAGCCTCTTCGAGCTCTTGCTTCACAGCCGTAGCGCGGGAGTACTGCTTGGATAGAATGGCCTTCGTAACATCGCTCCAGAGCTGCAGGGACTCATTGGGCAGCTGCTGCTCTGGTGGTGGGAGCACCTTGGGCGCTACCGTGAGAGGGGCGATGTCGATGATGGTTATCTGGTTCTCTGGGGGGTGGGAGTCCTGTTCTTCGGTGTGAGGAGAGAATTGCTCGCGCTATGTGTTTCCAAGGGTGTGCTCACCAAAGGTTTTGGGCCCAGAGTGAAGACGATTTTCTCCTTCCATGCCCCGCCAAGGCGAACGAGGACCTCCTCCTCTGGGACGTCGCTAATCTTTTGCTTGTCGTCATTCTCCGGGTCGTAACGGAAGATGATGCCTTCCACTTTGTTCGTCGAGCGGCCGAGCCAGCCGTCATCGTAGTAGCGCAGAATGGCCTTGAGCTTGGTCTCCGGGCAAGTGATGTAGGCCATGTCACCGACGGTCACGCTCAGGGCGCCCCTTAAAATGCCACCAAGATGCGCCGCAGGGTGCGTCAACTGATACGTCTCATGGCCACGCCGCTCCACGGTGATGAAGATCCCTAGGTTGTGCTCTCCAGGCATTACCTTAATCGAGGTGCCAGTGAACTTCGCTGTGATCTGGTCAAATCCCTTGGCATGGATGCCTTTCT